CCGGGTCAGGGATGAGTTGCTGCCTGAAGTGGAGGAGTTTATCTCTGGGTTGTGTTTACAAGTGAGAGGAGAGTGAGAGACAGAGATGGACCTGTGGAAGCATCTGCATTTATACAGACACTGTCGGTCATGCCAAAGAGGGAGCAGAGTGTAAAAGGGAAGCTCTCAATTTACCAGCCAGTCTGTGTAACCTACCCTCACCTTCCTACTGTCACGAGCTTTGGGTAAAGCCCAAAAGAGGGAGATTGTGCAAATACAACAGCAGAAATTAGTTTCCTTCAAAGAATGGCTGGGCTCTCCTGTAGAGATAGGGAGAGGAGTCATTCGAGAGGGGCTCAGAGTAAAACCACTACTCCTCAGGATCGAAAAAAGACAGTTAAGGTGGTTGGGGCATCTGATTAGCATACCCCCTGAGCATCTCCTGGGTGAGGTGTTCGGGGCATATCCCACTCGGAGGAGGCCCCGTAGCTGACCGACCCAAACACTAACTCTATCTTAATATCAAGAAAAATAGTTAAGATTTGACAGTGGATAGCTATTTATGTACTTAGCACTTTTAAACCCTCCTTTTATTCTTTCTTAGCCACTTGTTAGTGAATTTGTAGGTTTAATAGTTTCATAGTTCATTGAAAAAAGTATGATTATAAGGATTGCGATTTAAACTGAACCAATCCTGATAAACAGGGGGAGACAGGTTTTTTTCTTGAACTGATATTTTTTTTATCTTCCTTAGTCAATTTGCCGTTTAATTCCTCTAATCTGCAGTTTTACTTTTCTATTTCTCCAGTATTATTGGGAACATCACACCAACTGCCATGCAAAGAATCTGGAGGGTAAATGCTTAGTGCACCTCTGTGGACAACTGCTGAAAAAAATAGAGACGTCACAGAAATCAATAGCCTTTGATGTCTCAAAATGAGTGATTTAATTTCCTTTCAGACAGACAAAATATGCTTAATCTCTATCCACTTTTCTGATGGACAACCAAAAATTCAAGTTCAAGGTTTCAATGTGAACTGCACATGTGATGTGATGAAAGGGCAAATCAAGGACTATCACCTACCCCTGGCAGAATCTTCATGTTGTGCAGAGCATTCTGCGCTTCTAAGGCTGATTTGCGGCTATAGTAAGTTACAAAACAGCAACCTGCCAGAGATTGAAAAAGAAAAATCTTACTCAGCTGATTGACATCATACAAAGATCATGTTTTTCCTTTTTTGCTAATTAAAAACAAAGGACATTAACATAGCAAACCAAAAATAAAATCAATATATTCAATTTCAGAAGATTAGTAGTATAACTGGTTCAATTAATTCAGTCTTTTTTAAAACATAAAAATAAACTAATAATACTCTAGGTTTAGCAAATGTCAGAATAATAATAGTGTTTTGAGGGGTTATTTTGCCACCTCTAGAAAATGCACAGAATGTCACATAACAGAAGAAGCAAAGGATAAAATAATGCCTTGTATTACAATACGCATTAAAAATAACAAATGACAGTGATGTAAACTTTCTTAAACTCCTGTACCTCACAAAGTACAAGGGAAATAACTACTGTTAACACTTCATAAACATTCATAGGCAAGGTGTTGATAAAATTCAGCTCAATAAAGATAACCCTATTATGCACGCATGCATTTTGCAAATAACAATTCTTAACTCATTAATGTGGTCAGTGAAGAATACATGTAACATAATTTAACCTACATGTTCATGGAGCACTTTATTCTATACATGTTAAGCACTTAATCTAATCAGAGATGGAAGCCAGAGCACCACCACCACCCACCCAGCATGGACAGAACTTTTAAACTCCACAAAGAAAGGCCCCTGTTGGGTTTCCAACCAGGAATCTGAATGCTGCAAGGCGACAGTGCGAACCACTCCACCACTGTGCTGCCCATGAGCCGTTTAGAGCCGCACATGATTTTAAAACAACATGGGTTGTGTTTAATTCATCAACGATTATTATTATTCATTCAAATCAGATCCACAATAACACGTATATGCTGTTGATGAAATGATATCTATTCCGTTTACAAAATTAAAAAGTTTCAAGAAAACAGTGGTTTCTTTTTAAGAATTGTTGAGGACTGATTTATAGACAAACATGTGGGATAATACCACAGCAGTAGCTGTACTTTCCATCTTTTTGTCTAACACACAGTGACCAAACACATTATATGTTTCATAAAGTACAGAAACTTCTATATGTTAGTAGTTCTCCAAAAGCCACTCGGACTTGTTCCAATTAAGGACAGATTACAAATGTGTGTTGTAGTCCCCATCACTATATTATTCAGAAGTTTGCAGATGACACGGCCATCATGGGGTGTATCTGGGATGATCAGGAAGAGGAGTACAGAAGTCTGGTGAGGAACTTTGTCGCATGGAGTCACACAAACCACCTGCAACTCAACACCTCAAAGACTAAGGAACTGGTTGTGGACTTCGGGAGGT